AACTAAAAACAAAAAATGAAATTACAACTTGAACGCGGAGAGATTTGAGCCGAGGCGATTGAAATCTATCCGCAAGACAAATACGCCCCGTGTAGTGCTGACGGGTCAGTGCGTAATGTCCCCAAAGATACAACGGCTTTAACACTCGGAAGCTGTAGCACACCAGCCTTCAGAGTCCAGTCGAACAAGAATGAAGTCGAGAACCGAGAACTATGATATGATGGCACCAGCCACTTAAGGCTGAGATAAATGGCACCATAATTCTAAAATGTTTCAGGTGTTAAAACACCATTAACCTGGAGGAGTTAACTCCATTAACCCCATTATCACCATTAACCTGAGCTGTTTCGTTGTACCTGGAGAGGTCTCACTCGGGTTGGGTCAAAACCCGAGTCCAAATCCAAATTGGATTTTCCAGTTGGGCCTAAAATTGCAAATAAATTTGCAGCAAAAAGATATATAGTGATTGGGCCCAAGGCCCAAGCCCAACCGCCCAAGGCCGCCCAAGTCCAGCCCAAAGTCCAATTGCCAAGAACCAAGAACCAAAGCCCAAGGCCCAAGTCCCAAGTCCCAAGTCCCGGGTCCCGGGCCCGCGCGCGCGTGCGCGCGTGTGGCCGAAAACAACACCAACACTTGGTGCATAACTTTGTGCTTGTTGTAACCTCTCCAACTCTCTTTATTATAATAAAGAGGATTAAACTCATTTAAGAGTCCAATGTGGGATTGACTCTTGACCCTTCAAATCCCACAACCAACGTTTTACGTGCTCTTTTATGGCTAACTTTAACAATTTATTTCTCACTCACCGAAAATCAGTTTTGAGAAAATAAACATACCACGAGTATCTACTCGAAACTTAGAATTTTTCTACAATATTTAATTCAACTCAAATTGAATATTTAGCCATCAAAAATTCAGTCAAACCCGGGTCAAACCCAAGTTTTACAACTGATTTTTCCAACAAAATTAAACATACAAATGAATAAGCGCTTTCATAAGCAGATTCGATTCTGTTAAGAAATAGATACATACATTGTCAAGCTTGTATTTGATCCTCTCCTCTGCATTAGCAAATTTCTGCCTCCTGTTCTTGCCCTTCACTCCGAGTCTTCGAGGGTCTCTCTTATTTGCCGCCTTTCTCTTCTGCTTCTCCCTCTTTCTCTGGACTTTCAACCTCTTCTTCCTCTTCCACTTCTCTTTCTTTGGGGGATCAATTTCATGGGTCTCAAACTTGGGGCTGCCCAGTGGTGATATCACCAAACTCACCGACCCGTGACTGAAGCTTCTCCGCAACCGGCCAATACTTGCACAAAAACAATTTTGTGGGTCTTGCAGCTGATACGTGGGTCTTGCAAGAGTATACGAGGGTTGTGGTTGTTGAAGAATTTTGCTGCCAGTTGAAGAACAATAGACAGGGTTCGCTAAAAGTATGAAAGGAACTAACATTCCATGGATGCAGATTAATGTTTTCTGGACACAGAGATTAATTAAGTACCTGAAAGAGAGATGACGGTTGAGAAGGCAAGATAATCTACAGAGAGTTCGACGAACGGGGTTCGCCATTTGAGGGCATCATTAGCTTGCCTGCCTGCCTGCCTGCGATGATACTTGAATGGATTCAGGGCGATGTGTTCTCGCTTGCAGTGTGTAGACTGTAGTTATGGAAAGCCCGGAATTTATGGATATTCAAAGAGGAATGGCTACCAGTAAACCTGATTGTGCAAGCAGCAGGTAGGGACTGGAAAGAATTTGCATCTCAGACTGGCAGGAAGGCTTGAAAGCTGTCTTTGTGAGGGGGTCTAGGTCCTTTCAGGGGTACAGTGGGCACTCACTCTCAGTTTCAAGAGCTTGCATGCTGTTCTCTGTTTTTTACTTCATTCTCATCATTGTATTTAATTATGGTTTTGATTTGTATTCCCTTAGACTTGGTTGTTTGCTGTTGGATTTGCTGGCTTTGTGGTGTTAAGGTTTCAGCTCCTTTAGCTGCCTTAGATACCTTATTTTGAGTTTAGTAATAGACCGTGTTTAGACCACCAATGTGTGTGGCTCTCTCAAGTGCTTTGTGGCATTGGGCTGTTTAGCTCTCGGTTGTATTCTTGTACATTTGGTTGATATAAAAATCCCTATCGTTGAGAGAGCCACACGGTTTCCACGTGGCACCCGGGCAATCCTTTTACTTACAACGTTGGACCACAAGCTCGCATGCAACCTACGGTTTCCACGTGGCACCCGGCAATCTTGATTGTGTGGTTCAAACCTCTATCATCCGTGGCTCCAATTTGCGTTCACTCGTGAAATTTTTTTCTTTATTTATTCAATTATGCTGTATAATAAATAAATAAATACCCCTTTTAAATGAACTTCACTTGCCTCACATATAGTAGCAGCCTCTGTGCACCCTCTGCAAATTAATCAGATCATATTCTAATTTCTAATCAAGTCAATATGGCCGGCGCTGTCTCGACCATCGGAGCCGTCTACGTGTTCCGGTAAGTTGGCTGCTCTTAATATGAAAAATGATATTATCAGTAACCAAAAAACTGGAAGAACATTTAGAAATCGAGTCGTAAATTATTAAGTTTGAACACATATTATCTATACAGCTAAAGGGTCCTACCTCATCCTTCTTGGGGCGCAATCTGACGCTCAATGCATTGGTATACGTGCCCAAAGTCAACTCCGGCAGCAGCCTGAAGGTGGTTGCCGAGAGCAACGAGAAGAAGCAGACGGACTCCGACCCGCGAGGATCGTGTCGGGGTCTGCAAGGGTATATTCCGAACTGACAATGTGGCTGAGAAGTCCATTGTCAAGGGCAATCTATTGGTAGCGTGGCACTAACATTTCTAGCACATATACATAGTCATTTGCTGCTATAAACTATTGAGTTCATACTTATTTGCAGATTTCTTCGGAGCTTTGAGAGCAAGAGTGTATGACGACGAAGTGAGAAAGTGATTGGAGGAGTGGGAGTGGACAACATCGGGAAGAAGCTCGTGAACTCGAGGGAAGGCCCACCGACATTCGAGCAGCCCAAGATGACGCTTGAGAAGCTGCTCGAGTACGGGTACATGCTCGTGGCTGAGCAGGAGAACGTGAAGAGGGTCCAATTGGCCGACCAGTACTTGAAAGATGCTGCACTTGGCGATGCCAACAAGGACGCCATCGACAGAGGGACTTTCTATGGTTAGATTTCTTGGCCCTGATAGAAGGAGGTTTGCACATATTCTACTGCAAGAAGTGATGATGGAAGTTGCTCATACAAATTTGAAGTTTTTTCTTGGGGTTTTGGTTCTCCTTCTGTATTCAAGTGTTGGGTTTGAAATGAATTTTCCTACAATTTAAGGCATGCCTAGATTAATTGCCAATAACTAGTATTGTTACTGTTGATTGTAACCTGTAATTTGTGTTATAACTTGCAAGATACAGTTTTCAATTTGATGTTTTCTGTTCTTGGGAGTTGAATAAGAACAGATAGATTGTATAATTGGGGGTGAATACCAATATTTGGGTTGCAATAGCACAAGAAATTATATGTTTCACACAATTGACACATGCCTAGCTATGAATAAAAACAAACCAGCAAAATTGATACACAAGTCCAGCAATTAGTGATATTTCCCCTTTCTTATGTACGACTGAGGCAAAAATGAGTTTCAACTTTCAACACGCGGGCTTCCATGATGAGAGCGCATACAGGACACGCCCCCTCCACCCTTGCAACATCCAGTCCCCGTCCTCGTCTACCAGAAAATCCTTGTGGTAGCACGACTCCACTTTCTCTCTCGCCATATCCATTATCTCCCGATCCAGAGGAAACTGCTCGAACCCGGCCCGCATGATCCTGGCCTGCCACTTCCTGTACGTCTCGGGCCTCTCGACCCTCTCGGACCCTTCGCACGCGATCACATTCATCGCCTGCCTCCCAAACACGCCCCTCTCCAGGAGCACCCTCTCGTGCACGTCCGGGCCCACGTTCACGTCCAGCATGTCGAACAGCGCCGAGTAATGGAACAGCGCCTCCCGAAAGCGCGGGGCAAAGAATGGGCCCCCGTGGGCCCCGTTCATGATCCCGAGCACGAAAAGCGCGGGATTCATCCGCCGGATGAGGTTCAGGACGGCATCCCTCGGGCTCTCTTCTTCCACCACGGTCTCGTCCGCCAGGCTCCTCATCCTGAAGAGAGAGTTCACTACCAGCACCTCGTCCACCTCGATCTTGAGATCGTCGAGCGTGATCGTTTCCCACTTGCGAGCGATGGCGTTGAACTCGAACGGGACCCGGAAGGCCTCGGCGTACCCTGCCAGGCGCCTCCCCGTCTCCTCGACCCTCTCGGACGGCCGGAAACCCCGGCACGGGAGGTCGATGCCGGTGATGCGGAGGCTGGGGGGCCCTCCGCGTCGGGCTGAGAGCCTCTCCAGGAAGCAGGGCCACTGGAATCCGTACATTATCCCGAAATCAACGACGTGGAGCCTCGTGGCTGCTCCCAACGCGTTCGTGATGGCCCGGTTGGCGAAGAAGTTGGAGACCTTCCGGAAGGGGCAGGTGGAGAGGTAGAGGTGGTACGCGCGCAGGGCAGCAGCGGCCATCGCGGGCAGGTTGTCGAAAGAGGTGCGCACGCGGGGCCCGCCGGAGATGCGCGCCTCGAGGCAGTCCGCCAAGTAGTGGGCCAGCCTCTGCATCCCATCCCCAGCCGGGGTCGAGTGCTTCCGGATCCGAGTCAGGAACTCGCGCGCGCTCGTGTGGTCGTCGGCTGCGATGGACTGTGCACACAGGGTCAGGAGGTTCCTCAGGTCAACCACGATCCGCTTGTTGCTTCCTCGTTTTTTGGCTCGACTTTTTCTACCCTTTGGCTGCCGGCCGTCGTGGTTAACACTACTGCTGCTGCTGCTGGTAGTTTTGAATTCGTTCTTTCTCGGACTGGTGAGGAGCACCTCGTCGAACATGTCGGGACTCACGGTCGACTCGGAACAGACAGCGGACAGCTTGCTGCTCCTCTCCTCTGCCGGCCCCACGGACTCGTCACTGTAAGGATTCTTTCTCCCCCGTGACTCGAATCTTGTGTCCACAGTAACTATCGGATTGGGAGATCGAACAGTAAAGTTACTCCCACGAGGAATAAATTTCTCGGCTCCCGCGGTTTCGTTAATTCCGGATGATATACGAGTGGCACCGCTGCTGCTCGAGGAGCTGCACGATGACTGGCTACCAGAATCGATAGGGCAGCAGTCGAAATCGGGATCGAAAAGCCAATCAGGACAGAGAATAATGTCCTCGTCTAAATCCGGACTGTGGAGCAAATTAGTTTCGATACTCGGTTGGTCGGGAAGAGGATACTGTTGCCCGATAACATCGTAGAGCGACCTTTCGGCGGCCTGAAGGGCTGGGGAATCTCGAAGCACGCAAGCCCTGTCGTCGGCGTCCTCTTCCATTAAGACGTGGTTTATGTAGTCGAGAACCGCGTCGCTAAGGTCCAGATCCTCGACCGAGTCTAAAGTCGAGTAGCTCGACTTGTCAATGGTGTTCACACAGTAACCACTGAAGCTTTGATCCATGGTTGAGCATTCAGAATTGCGTAAAGTAAATATAAAATTGCACTAAATAATCAGTGGATAGATCACGAAAATTTTAACAGCTAGAAAACAGAAAGCCAGGCCGGTGTTGTACATTAACTGCAGGCTTTACATTCACACTCGAGATCAGATAAAACCTTCGAAAAATGAATAAACAGACCTGATTATGGGGAATATTGAACAAGTGCTGAAAACAGAACAGTGTTTGCTTTTTCCTCAGCACTAGAAAGGACTTGTTTGGCATCGTGGATAACATGGAGACCACATAGTAATGGGGTCTACAGATATTTTAAGGAGGGAATATGGTGGGAAAATGATGGCCAGCATAGGAATCGAGTTGTTGACCCCTCTAATTGTCACTTTTCCCACTTTCATCTCCTAAACTAAAGACTACTAATAGTTTGGGAATTGAGTTGTTGACCCCTCTGATTGTCACTTTTCCCACTTTCATTTCCTAAACTAAAGACTACTAATAGTTTGGGGTGAGCATACCGAAATTTGGAGATCACTAAAATTCAATTTTCGGAACCGAATCAGAAAATCGGTTCGGTTCGGTTGGGAGATTTTTATTTTACGATTCGGTTCGGTATTCGGGACTATCGGAACGGTTCGGTCCGGTTCGGTTCAGTTTGGTTTGATTGGATATTCGGAGATTATATTACTAATTATTTTTTAATTTTTTTTTTAATGACCACCTAGTTATATTTCATTTTTATATGGTTTTTTTTTTTTTTTAAATCCAACATTCATCAGTACTTTGTAATACTAAAGATTATATTTTTAAATCTAATTTTAGAAGGAACTCTAAATTTTAGTTAAGACTAAATTCGTGCAACTAACATTTAAAATTTAAAATTCAAATAAAATATAGTACATTTTTTTATTAAAGTAATTCTTCTTTTAACCTTTCATACCATGTTAGTGTTAAGATAAAATAAGACTAAGTATTGACAAATTTAAGTAAAAGTTTAAATATTTTTTGAAAATAATATTTCGTTAACCTTTCATTACATTTTTTTTTATAACATGAAAAATTTAATTGTAGATCAAGTATTACTAAGCATGAAATTTAAAGCTTAATTTTTATTACTATATTATTTGTATTTTAAATATCTCAAATTATATAGGATCAAAGCTGACATAAAATATATTAATAACACTGATATAGGATATTATACTGGACCCGGTTAAATGGATAAAGCGGATACATTTTGGAAGATAAACCCACTAAGACGTCCAAGCCCAACATTATGGGCCAAGCTCATCTTGAGCCCACAAAGGTACACTCCCCCTATAAAAGGGGGCCAAGGTACCTCATTATTACTCTCTACACATTACATTACTACACTTTATCTCTCTCTTGATCCGGGCACTGACTTAGGCATCGGAGGCCCGACGCCGGGGCCACCCGGCGTTGGGTTCTGCAGGTACGGAGGCCGGTTCGAGTTGAAGGAGCCCGGGTGAATCTTATTCACTTCACTAATCAACTATAAAGAATGAAATCGTTTTCGTATACTCCACATAATCATGAGCTCCCGACGAGTGGTGACCCACAAGTCGAAAGACTTTCTTGCTTCTACAACACTATTAGACAACTAAACACTAGAGTCTTTGCATGTAGGCGATTACATTCTGGTCACACTCCCACCACTCATCAAACTTCTTATACCACTTTATGGTGGTGGAAGAACAATGCCTCTCGCAGATGGCACGGCCAAATAGGCTTGATGAGAGTACCTTTCAATAGGTTGAAGGAAGATAGCCTTTCATTAGGCTCTGAACAGTCTTATCGACGGGGACAACTGTTCGAAGAGTGCACTAACGAAGGTTACACATAATCACTTACACCCTCTAACCCTAGCACTTAGCTACCCTCTAGAGTTATAGTCCGTGAACCTTGGTACTGCAACAAACGACTTGCTCGAATGT